TTTTCTTAATCTGTAAACAGGATAGTCCAGTTCTTAAAGTTAAATATGGCTATGACTATATTTGCAAAGAATTACATTATACTATCAACCAAAATTAGGCGTAGTGAAGGGAAGGAGAACAACAAATTTTTAAAGAAACATAATTATATCACACAACAGAATCTAAGTTAACAAGGTCGGGTTTTTTGTTTGTTTTTAACTTGTAGCGCTCCTTAGGCGGCTGCAACGTAACTAGCATTTATGTAGTGCAAAAATATCTCTGAAATGCTTTAAAGGTCTTTTTTTCTGTTGGTAACACAATCCTCAGACATCTTTCCCACCTATTAGTGTGCTTGACAAATCTATTTACAAATAGTGGGAAAAGCAATTCAGTCCTGCTACTCCCTACTCAGAAGGAATTATGGCAGAAATAAATGACATCTCGGTGGACCCTCGAGAGGTCTGTTAAACTGTGACAACAGCTGGTTGCTGAGTCACATCAGTGCCCAAAGGAGTTGATCTTGAGCACTCGGTGCCTAATTTATATACAGGAAGAAATATTGGTGTTAGGGGCCTTCACCTCACCAGGAGCACCTCTTAAAGCTTTGTGGCTGGTTGTTCAAGGGGAGGTGGTTTTTCTAATGCCAGGCTCCCTTAGCTCTTTAAAATTGCTTCTTTGGTAGAAAAACTTTTCCTCATTTTTGCTATTTGGAGTTCACTCTGTAACCTTTGAAACTTACTGCAGGAAACATAAGTGCCCCACAGAGACTATTCTAGTGTTCTGAAAAGGTCTTTAAGAAACAGGCTTTGTTTTAAAGCCACTGACTACCAATAAACCCTTTTATTATTTTCACCACAATATTTGGAATACAGATTCATTTCAAGGTTTTAATGACTACCAGATTGCCAGTCTTGGAGGATTGTGTCGAGAGACATTTTTAGACAGAAAAAAATGGAGCAGGACCTACATACCTTTTTGTTAGCGCTCAGCTACCACATGTTTATCAGCGATACTGGCAGTCCCTGCCTGGGTCTGGTCTGCAGGAGAGGAGGGAGGGCTTCAGGGAAAAGAAAGCAGCCAAAGATTCTGATGGAAGATATATTAGTCTGGATCACTCTGCAGTGATGAATAACCTTCAAATATCAGAGGCTTAAAACAGCAAAGGTTTGTCTCATTCACAAAGGTTTGTCCATTGAGAGGTGGCTGAGGGCTCCATTCTGACTCACTATCGCTGTTATAAAATGGCCAGGAGTTACAGCCTGCCCCATGGGCCTGAAGGAAGAGAACAAGAAGTATTTGGCCAGCAGTACTAGGGACTGCCACAGCTTGTGTTTCTGATGGCTAGATATTTGGCTCGCTCTCCCGCCTGAAAGTGAGATACGGTCATCCCCTCCCCAAAGGAAACAACCCTGAAGTCCTTCCCCGTCATAGTGTCTGCATGATGCACAGCAGGCTCTAAATTAGGGGGTGATACAAAGTCATTTTGACATCAGCTCGGATCTAGAAACTTCTGAACTAAAAGAGGCAAGTTACCTGCTTTTCACCACCCCCATACATTGTATATTAATGTATTAATAGTTGGTTGGGCATTGTCTCATGCACCAAAGGGTTGCCAGTTCGATTCCCAGTCAAGGCATATGCCTTGGTTGCAGGCTCGATCCCCGGTAGGGGGCATGTAAGAGGCGGCCGATTGGTGTTTTTCTTCCTCACTCCCTCCCTCTCCTTTCCTCTCTCTCTCTCTCTAAAAAATTAATAAAAATATTTTTTAGAAAAGGAAATAGGCTTCTTAACTATTTCACTGTGCTTTATTTCCATATGCCCAGCGTTCTGTTCTTGGCATCATCCTTATATTCACTGTGTGCCTTTGTGTTGTGCTCCCAGCCTTTCTTTATTGACTTGGTCAGTGATACTTTGAACCTGTCAGGCTCTGGTGGGAAAGCCAAACCTCTAGTTTCTTTCCCCCTGAGCTATTCTAATGGAAAGAATTAACTAAGAAACCATAACCTTAACTGCATGTTTAGTTGGGGACACCTTAACTCTTTCAGAGTGCTAAGAGTAAGTGTGATAGTCATTTTCTTTCTCCCAACCTCACCCTAATGCTAGGTGCTAAGTGAGCTTTTTCACTCAGAGGCTTTCTCAGTTTTATTGAGGCTTTCTCACTTTTATCGTTTACATGTTGGGGAAGAGAAGCAGCTGCTTTTTTTCCAGCCTTACAAGTCTGACTTGATGGATTCTGTTCCCTTTCCTTTTTGTTTGTAAACCAGTTGGTTACTTTTGAGCCCATCTCTTGCTCTTGTTTTGGTTACCCCTTTTAAAATTCAGCCAACAGGCCCTGACCGGTGTGGCCTTAGTTGGTTGGAGTGTCATCCCTTGCACCAAAAGGCGGTGGGTTCGATTCTCGGTCAGGGCACCTACCCAGGTAGCAGGTTTGATCTCAGGTTGGGGTGTGTGCCAGAGGCAACCAGTTGATGTTTCGCCCTCTTCTCTCTTCCTCTCTCTGCAATCAATAAAACAAAAATTAAAGCTGAATGATATTCTAAAAACAAAGAAAGCTCAGCCAACAGTAGCCAATAGTCACCAACACTTGCTACGAATATTTGCCCTTGAACCCTTACACGAGATCTCCTAATTATTTAGGTATATATATCTGCTTTCCAAGTTCTCATACATGATAGTTTTACCAAATGCTTTGCCAGCCTCCAGAATTTGTTTCCTCACTCCCTGATGCCTGCCTCTAGGCCAGTGTCACACTTTTTGTTGTTGTTGAATAGGCCAGGTTCTGTTGCAGTAACAGACAATTCCCATATCTCAGTGGTTTAAAGAACAAATATTTATTTCATGCTCATACTGTCACTGAGGATTGTCTGCATCCTCACTCCAGGACCTAGGCTGACAGATCAGCCACTACCTGGAATACTTCCGATTGCTATGGGAAAGTTCTAGAGGGTCTCATGCCTGGCCTGGAAGCAATGACCTACTCATCAGTTCTCACTTTTAAAGCAGGTTTCCTTCAGCATTATTTTTGAGCTGTATTCATGTTGAAACCTATACATCTAGCTGATTTAACTACTTATCTATAGCACCTGGTTTTATGAGCATTAAGCTTCTATTTTGGACACACCTCACTATGGTAGAAACCATTTTGAATGAGCAGATCAGTTCACTTGTTGCATAAGTCTTCTTGGGCAATTTGAACCTCATCTACTGAACATTCTTGATGAATAGTCTAGAAATTTTTGAAAATGACATCTGGTGTAAGACGGAGGAGTGAAGGATGAAGGCAAACATCCTGTATCTGGACCCACCATCACTTCTGGCAGACATGAAACAGATTCTTATCAGTGGTTCAGCTGAATTTATCTAAACATCTGGGCATCCTGGATTAACGAGCTAGTGAATCATAGTGGTAACTGCGTTGGGAAGTCCGTCCTTCCTCTTCTTTTCTATCTCTTCTGCAGCTTGTGTAGGGGGAGCGTCACTTTAGGGAGACCTTGATATCAGGAAGATAAAATAAAACTACATTTGAAATATGACAGTGTTCTATAAAAGCATTAAAATACGAATACAAAAACCTCCAGTTTTTCATGAAGGTAAACTAATACAGTATTCCAATTCTGTTCCCTTTTGCCTTAACCAAAACTACTGATAAAACATTGGCCTGAATTTTCAGAACCTGACACACTTTTTCTCACACTTTTTGTTGAATTGCCCACAAAAGCTTTGAAATGGCTGAAAAATGAGCTGGAGGTGAAGCAGGAAGAAGAAACCTGGACTCTTAAGTAACATAATGTTTAGGTGCCCCTGTTGCATGTTGAAAAGTGAGACTTTGTGCAGTTGCCTATCCCTACCAAACAAAAGGCCATGTAGCGATGCTTCATCCCAGAAACCCGGTGACAGGCGTGGCTGGATGAAGATGGATTTCTGGTGCAGAACTAGATTATTTTCTGGGTTTCACACTGCTGTTCTGTCCATTCTGTCCTGAGATGGTTCCTAATTCTCATTATCACTGAATACTGAATTCTTCTTCTTCTTCTTCTTTTTTTTTTTTTTACTTCGGTGTGTGCTGAAATTTCTAAGTGTAGAATTTTCTCCATCTCCTCCCCGATCTCTAGCCTCCACCCAAACAACCTGCTCATCTTGCTACCCCCTAAAAATAGTAACAACATTTCTGTGGTCTCATATAATCACAAACATAGGGGTCTTTCTTCTGTCTCTGCTCCTTCCCCTCTCTCACACTCACCTCTTTTTCTTTTCAAACCAGGTAGGATACATACATACATACATACATACATACATATATTATACTTTCTGAATCTTTTGTTTTCTCTAGCAGAAAGGAAGAAAGAAAGGAGATGTAACAGGAGCTGTTCTCCTTAGAATCCCGCCACCATAGGGGTCATTATGTCTGCCCATCACCTCTGATATTCCACATTTTCTCCCCTTCTGCTTCCTATTTATTTAAAGCAGTGGAGTCACGCCTTAGGAAGTCAGTTCATGGAGGCAAAAAGCAAATGCTGTAAAAATTATCATTGAAAAGTGCCCTGGGAGGTACCGTGAGGATTAGCTATCCATATGCCATCTATTGACACACCTAGCACAGCTGGTTTTTCCTCTGGCATCAGAAGAGGCCATTTTTCTTTGGCTAAAGTTCTGATAAAATATTTAGCATTTGGGAGCCATGCTATATGCAAAATACGTATTTTTTAAGTATTGGAACTGCACCCATCTTGGTGAGATTTCGAGCCCTGAGCAGCACATGAGTATTGAGACTGGCTTAGGGAACTGCAGATCCTGTTTCTCAGCTCAGAGTCAATCCCGATGCAGACTCTAATTGAGTGGGCACCATTTAAATTGTGAATTTCTCCTTGCCTGTCTTTTCTTTTGGTGCATATATTTGAAATCAAGTAAACGGAATGTTAAATGCACATGCAGATGTGGCACCATAGCATTTCATGACTGAAGATTAAAAAATCATTTATTTGCATGCATAGAATTCAGTGGCACTGTCTTTCTGTCCTAGCATTCCCATGGTTTGGCATGGATATCGGCGGAACCCTGGTTAAATTGGTCTACTTTGAGCCAAAGGATATTACAGCTGAAGAGGAACAAGAGGAAGTGGAGAACCTGAAGAGCATCAGGAAGTATTTGACTTCCAACGTTGCTTATGGGAAAACCGGGATCCGAGATGTCCACCTGGAATTAAAAAACTTGACCATGTGTGGACGCAAAGGGAACCTGCATTTCATCCGCTTCCCCAGCTGTGCCATGCACATGTTCATTCAGATGGGCAGCGAAAAGAACTTCTCCAGCCTTCATACCACCCTCTGTGCCACGGGAGGCGGGGCTTTCAAGTTCGAAGAGGACTTCAGAATGGTAAGTGGGTTTGTCCTTGTTAAAACAGCCGAACCACCTCTTAGAGAAAGAAAGAAAACCTCTGATATGTTCATAATCATGGCATCTCATACCAAAGGACTAGACGACTACTAACTAGCCTTGGGAGTTTGAACAAGTGCACTTCACCTCTCTGTGCCTCAGTTTCCTCATCTATTGAATAGTTACTACCTCATAGGGTTGTTACATGGAGGATCAGATGAGGTAATATGTACCTGGCACTTCATTAATGCTCAAAAAAATGTGTTGTCATTCTCAACTTTTGTTATAATTAGTGCTGCACAGTATGCTAAAGACAATATGATATAAAACTCCCTCTCGAGTTTTCCTCAGACACTTACTACACAATTTCTTGAAAAGCATAATCACTGAGTCAGTTTTATAGGTATGTAGACTGTGGCCCACAGGAAAGGTTCTCTAGAAATCTTACAATCTAGAAATCTTACTAAAAATTATCACTTCTGTCTACCCATTTGCACTGTCTTTTTGTTTATGAATGCCATTCAAAAGTTTTGCTCACAAACAAAAAATGAAATCTTTGATAGGTGAGTTCCTTTATTAATGAACACTTTGTAGGAGGTGCTACATAATAAGAATAGTGCCGTATCCTGACTGGAGGTACATTCCAACTCGGTGTTGCTCATTTAGATTTGACAAATTTAGCTCAGTGGAATATGACTGAATGACATGGAGCCCAAACTTTGCCTTTATTTAGCAATCCCTTAACACCTAAATGTTCCCATTTGCCCATCTTTACAGTCAAGGTAATCTTTGTACTGTCCAGCCTCATCTCACAGGGAATAAAGTGAGAAGAAAATGAATAATAGGTGGAGAAAAGAAAGGAAACGAGACTAACAGAAGTGATGGAACATAGGAGAAGGAAGGGTTGGGAGATTTGGGGATTAGTCCTGCCAGAAAGTTGAAAATATAGTGAGGGTAAGATGTAAAATACAGAGAGGTAAGCCTAGAGTACAGATCACTGGCATTTTGTCATGGACGTAATGGACATGTGCTGCTGAGGCAAGCACTGCCGTGGAACTAATATAATCCTGTCTTGTCATAAAGTCTATCATTAATGAATGAATTAATGAGGCAGTGCGTTACTCATGGTATTAAGCCATAATGAAAACTGCATTAGTATTGTCAAAGGTAACATCGTTTATCTCATTGATTGTTCTAAATCAGCGGTTCTCAACCTGTGGGTCGCGACCCCTTTGGCGATCGAATGACCCTTTTACAGGGGTCGCCTAAGACCATCCTGCATATCAGATATTTACATTACGATTCTTAACAGTGGCAAAATTACAGTTATGAAGTAGCAACGAAAATAATTTTATGGTTGGGGTCACAACATGAGAAACTGTATTTGAAGGGCCAGAAGGTTGAGAACCACTGTATCTAAATAGTGTCTAGAAGAGCTGGCAATGGAGTCCTACCATAGTATCCTGAGATTAATTATCTTCAGGTTTTGGCTTTTTTCTTTTGTGTCCCCTTTCCCTACCCAGCAGTAGAATTAAGAGTTTCTAGGAGTGCCCCCTTAATAAGAGGTGGGGCATCACCAAAATTCTGATTCAGGCGAAAGGAATGCTGACCCAACCCTATTGCTGTCAAGCTCACCAGTTTTCTCACTATTTGTCCTTCTTCCCTGGAGAGCCTGAAATGAACCAAGGTGACCTGGAGCGTTTATGCAACATCCATCAATGCCTCCATCTCTCCTCTGGGGTAATGTGTGTTCTAGGAGGAAGTTACTCAATGGTTGTAGGCTGTGAGCAAGTGTGTTTCTCAAGATTCTGAACTGGGAAAGGTCACAACTCATTACAACCAAGGTGAAGCCTGCAGGCAAGCTGTTGGTGCCTAAGGGAGCAGGGTTATGTGCCAGCCATGTGCCACTTAACGACGGGAAATGTTCTGAGAAACTTCATTGCTATGCAAACATAGAGTACACGTACACAAATCTACAGGCTATAGCCTACCACCATACAATATAATAACATATTGCTCCTAGGCTACAAGCCTGTATGCATGTTACTGTACAAAACAGCATGAGATTAAAACAAGCACAAAAGAAAATGACACAATCACGAGATGTGGTAAGCACCAGACGCATGAGGCTGCTGCTGGCGTAACATGGCATACTGTTTTACAGCAAACTTATTGTTTGTTTATTTATTTTTAAAATCTTTACTGTTTAAAGCATTACATAAGTCTCCTTTTCCCCCCATTGACCTCTCCCTAACCGCCCCCAGCATATGCCCTCACCCCACTCCTGTCTGTGTCCATTGGTTATGCTCATATGCATGCATACGAGCAACCAAGTCCTTTGGTTGATCTCTTACTCCCGCCTTCCCTCATAGGTTGGACAGTCTGTTCGATGCTTCTATGACTCTGGTTCTATTTTTGTTCATCAGTTTATGTTGTTCATTAAACTTATTATTTTTTGGTTTTTTAAAATACATTTTTTATTGATTTCAGAGAGGAAAGGAGAGGGAGAGAGAAATAGAAACTTCTATGATGAGAGAGAATCATTGATCAGCTAACTCCTGCACGCCCCCTACTGGGGATTGAACCCGCAACGTGGGCATGTACCCTTGACCAGAATCAAACCTGGGACCCTTCAGTCCACAGGCTGACACTCTATTCACTGAGCCAAACCAGGTAGGGCCAGATAGATGTTTTTAAAGATCTCAGTAATTAGGTCTCACTAAAGATGTTCAGCAGACCCTGAATAATTAGCAGTTATGTCTGATGACTATATCCTGTTCATATATGGTAAATGTACTTAAAGTTCATATTCTTCATCCAATTTAGAAGGAATAAGAAAGAGCTATAAACCACGAGACAATATTAAATTAGACCTCAGTGTAGAATATTTAGTACAATGTGTAGAGGAGATGTTTGTTTGTTGCTAGCACTTACTTTGAAATGATTTTGAGGGGAAAGTTGAGATAGTAGTGTTTGCTTTGCTTAGATTATTTGCCCTAACAGGTTTTCCTTTTTCCCTAGCATAGTTTCAGGATGTCCAGCTAGACAGATTGTGTCTCTGTCCATGTTTGTGATGTTGTCTCTGGACATGGCTATCGATATTGTTGACAGACTTCTGATTAATTTTTAAACAGCTTAACCTATGATCCCAAGACTGACTGATGAAATTTCTACTTTTCCATTTGGGTGATCCAGGAAGTGATAACTTTCCTGTTTCAATTTAACAAATGTTTATTGCGTGTCTATTATGGACAGGCCTTTGATCATGGTGCTCAGGGGCATCCACTGAACCAGAAAACAAACCAGAATGTGACAGATGCTCTGAGCGTCATTCTCAGGAATCCAGGACTGAGAGAGTAGCATTTGCACTGCTATGTCTCACTATAATCTTAGGTCTCCAGATGGATGTTTTTTTAAAAATATATATATTGATTTCAGAGAGAAGGGAGAGGGAGAGAGAGAAACATCAATGATGAGAGAATCATTGATCAGCTGCCTCCTGCATGCCCCCTACTGGGGACCGAGTCCACAACTCCGGGCATGTGCCCTTGACTGGAATCGAACCCAGGACTCTGCAGTCCACAGGCCAATGCTCTATCCACTGAGCCAGACGAGCTAGAGCTCCAGATGGGTTTATACTTCCAGCATTACCCCCTTAAAATGTATATAATTGTGTACATCTCACACAAAAGTTTCACTTGGAAAAAAAGAAAATGCTTGGAACCTTTTATGAGATAGACTTAATTTATTGCCGGGTGTCACTTAGAATGATTGTTTGGGTGCATCACCTTGTCAGTAACCTGTTCTAACTAATTCCGTTCTGCAGCGACAGCTTCAGTGGGTTTTGTTGATTGGGAAGTTCAGATGAGTGACACAAAGTCAAACATTTTCTTCTAGCTTAGTACTTTTATAGGTTGTTTCCAGAACCCAGAAGCAGTACCCATTAAGAATGAAGACGACAGCCCTAACCGGTTTGGCTCAGTGGATAGAACCTGAAAGGTCCCAGGTTCGATTCCGGTCAAGGGCATGTACCTTGGTTTCGGGCACATCCCCAGTAGGGAGTGTGCAGGAGACAGCTGATCAATGTTTCTCTTTCATCGATGCTTCTAACTCTCTATCCCTCTCCCTTCCTCTCTGTAAAAAAATCAATAAAATATATATATATATTTTTTAAAAAGAATGAAGATGAGAGAAGACAGCAAAGCTGTGGGAGATATTTGCAAGTTTATCACGTAGGGAAAGTTATTAAGCTCTATGAGCCTTAACCATAGAATAAGGATAATAGTACCTAGTTGTAGGGTTTTGTGAGAATTAAATGATCTAGTACAGGTGCTTGGCATGTAGTAAATGATAAATACCAGTTATTACTTTCTTAAATAGATTTTAAAAAACATTTAAGTTAGACTGTATAAATTATCTTCATTAATTGGTTCAGTTTCAGGTTGGTGATTGCTAGATTTTTTCTTTTTTTTCTTTTTGGTCATGGAAAGTTATCATCAACCCAGACCTCAGGACCAGTAATAATACCATTCTCAAAGATCATGAGTTAAACTTTGAGGATGCAAATTGGCCACTCGCTCCTGGCCAAATCATTCCCCTTTACTTTTTTCCCTCTGTACTTAGGACAGTGGTCGGCAAACTCATCAGTCAACAGAGCCAAATATCAACAGTACAATGATTGAAATTTCTTTTGAGAGCCAAATTTTTTAAACTTAAACTATATAGGTAGGTACATTGTTATTAACTTAATTAGGGTACTCCTAAGCTGGCCTTTGCTAAAAACGTCCTCACCCTAGCCAAGATACCTTCCCTGAGGTCGACCCCTTCCAACTCTCCCATCCACACTCGTCTATCTGAAACAAAGGGCATGTACCTTGGTTGCAGGCACATCCCCAGTGGGGGGTGTGCAGGAGGCAGCTGATCGATGTTTCTCTCTCATCGATGTTTCTAACTCTCTATCCCTCTCCCTTCCTCTCTGTAAAAAGTCAATAAAATATATTAAAAACAAAACAAAACAAAACAAACAAAACGTCCTCAATCTGATTGAGGTACGTTCGCTGAGGTCGACCCCTTCCAACTCTCCCATCCACACTCATCTTGTATACTTGTTTCATCTATCTCCTTTCGTTCATCCTCTCTATATGTCCAAACCATCTCAACATACCTTTCTCAATCCTCGTCACTACATCTTCTTTCACTCCACAACATTCCCTAAAATTAACTTAATAAACTTTACTTGAAGTTTTAAGTCAACTTCACACTGTACCTGCGCTGTACCTGTGGAAGAGCCACACTCAAGGGGCCAAAGAGCCACATGTGGCTCGTGAGCCATGGTTTGCTGACCACTGTCCTAGGAGAATAGGAGTGTTTGTCTCATAAGAGCATGAAAGGACTCTGAGGCCGCACCAGCTATTAATAAAAGAGCCCATATTTGTTGAGTCCCTTGTGTATGCGTTTTTCATATTATTATCATGTAATCTTCACAATAACTCTATGCATTGGGTGTTACTATCCTCATTTTACAGATGAGGAGATGAGGCTTCAGGAGTTAAGTATTAGAGCCAGAATTCAAAGCCAGGTCTGCCTACCTGTAAAGCCAGGCCTGGGAAAATGGGAATTGGACTTTGTGGGCTCAGGAGATTGTCCCCCACTTCCAGGCTCAGCGTGCCACCCTCGGGACCTCAAGTCCTGCCGATGAAGTGTAGAATTCTTGCTGCTTTCGGAACATTCTCACCCTCTTCACCTTGGGGGAGAGCTCCTATCTCAGTGGTATGCTCTACTTGTTTCCTGTGGCTGCGGTAACAAGTCACCACCAACTTAGTGTCTTCAGACAACAGGAATCTATTCAGTTGTAGTTCTGGTGGCCAGAATGAATCCAGGGGTTGATTGACAGGACCACACTTCCTGCAGAGGCTTTGGGACAGATGCCATTCCTTGCCCCTTTCAGCTCCTGGTGGCTGCTGGCTTTCCGTGGCTTGTGGTGCAGCTCTCCAATCTCTGCCTTCATCTTGGCAAGGCCTTCTCGGTGTCTATCAGACCTTTCCTGAGTGTCTCATTGGAGTCCCAGTAGATAACCCAGGATGCAACAGCCTTAACGTAATAACATCTGCAAAAAGCCCCCTTTTCCATATAGGGTAACATTTGCAGGTTCTGAGAATTAGGACATGGACATTATCTTTCAGGGGCCACCCTTCAACCCACACTACACAGTAGCGAGATGCTTTTCTAGCAGCCAGTCAAGCTACCTCCCCTCAGCTCCAACTGTGGGCAGAGAGGAAGTCTGAAGTCTGGCCAAGGCTACTGATCATCAAGATTTACAACTTGGTGTTTCAGTGACACATTTTAAGTCCCCCTAAATGTCTCTGGCACCTCCCCTAAGGCCATGGCAGCCTTTATCACAAGATTTTGTTCTCTTTTAGATCGCGGACCTGCAGCTCCATAAACTGGACGAACTGGATTGTCTGATTCAGGGCCTGCTCTACGTCGACTCCGTTGGCTTCAATGGCAAGCCAGAATGTTACTATTTTGAAAATCCCACAAATCCTGAATTGTGTCAAAAAAAGCCGTACTGCCTTGATAACCCGTACCCTATGCTGCTGGTGAACATGGGCTCAGGGGTCAGCATCCTAGCAGTGTACTCCAAGGACAACTATAAAAGAGTTACAGGGACCAGGTAAATGTGGTGTCACTAGGAAACCTTTTTATACTTAAACCCAGGTCTCTTCCTTGAAGACCAGTTTATAAAAACGTTATTTACAGTGAATACATTTTCAAAAGAAAGTTCTTACCCTCTGTCAACCAAAAAGGGTTTATTGGGTACATTATGAGGGTGATTTACATAAAGGTAATAAAACACAGTCCTTGTCCTGTTGGAAACTGATCAGGTTGAGGGAAGAAGGTCATACACCATCTTGTGGAACCACCTTGGTGCCTAGCTGGGGATGAATTGCTTGAAATAATAGGTCATTGTAACCAGTAAACCATCTGGATTATAAGGAATGTCTGTTACCCTCAGGTACATGCTCTGGCCGAAAACTGGATTAGTCGGCATACCTCGCAGGGAATTTTGGAATGTAATAGACAGGAAAGCAGCCCTGTCACCACAGTTGGGTAGAGTGCCTTGTTTTTTTAGTGCATACAGCTTACATACCCAAGAGAAGATGGCTCAGCCTTTATATATATATATGTGTGTGTGTGTATATATATATATATATGTGTGTGTGTAGAAGAAGGGAGAGGGAGAGATAGAAGCATCAATGATGAGAGAGAATCATTGATTGGCTGCCTCCTGTATGCCCCCTACGGGGATCGAGCCTGCAACCCAGGCATGTGCCCTTGACCAAAATCGAACACGGGACCCTTCAGTCCACAGGCCGATCCTCTGTCCACTGAGCCAACCCGGCTAGGGCTCAGCTTCTTCTTAATGGGAATTCAACCTGGGAAAAGGATCTGGGGTCAGAAACCTGAGATCCTGGCAGAAACAAAATTAAATAAGGTTTTTCTTCTAAGAGAAGAATTTGGTATGAATGTTGCTCCAACTTATTGGACCATAGAATCCATTTTTGGAGGAACAACTTAAGGAACTAGTGCTGTATGAAATATGGTTTGAAACATGATATTGAAACCATTGTTTTTGATGGATGAAGATAGCATGTAACTTCTCTGGGCCTCAGTTTTCCTCATTTGTGCTGTGAAGGGGGTTGTTTCTTAGAGAGTTTGTACAGGCTTTTCCAGTACTGGAATTCTGCAGTATTATTCGCTCATTAGGACGAGAGCACTGCTTTCTACACCATTTCCATGACCTGTGATGGATCTATAAAAATCAGTGGTTCTCACTGGGGAAAGGAAGATTAATGCCCCAAGGGGATCTTGGCAATTTCTAGAGACTTTTTTTAGTTTTCCCAACTGGAGGTGGGATACTACTGGCAACTAGTGGCTAGGGGTTAGGGGGCCCCCTACAACAAAAAAGAAAAAAATACTAAGCCCTAAAAGTCAGTAGTGCTGGTGTTGAGAAACCCTGGCTTACACACACACACACACACACACACACACACACACACACAAGTACATACATATTCTGACTGAATCCTGCTTGTGTCCAGAACATAGGCTTTGGTGTGTAAGTTAGTTGCCGCTAGGCATACATTTTCCAGCTGAGAATACAGAACTAAGCCTTCCTGCCTCCACAATAATCACACTGACCCCAGGGCCTCAGTAGGACTGTCAGGCCCATTAGAGGCATTTCAACTGAGCTGGTTTTACCTCAGAGAGTGATTTTCTGACAAAGGCACAATTCTTTTTTTTTTTAATTGTTTATTTACAGAGAGGAAGGGAGAGGGATAGTTAGAAACATCGATGAGAGAGAAGCATCGATCAGCTGCCGCCACACTCCCCCCCACTGGGGATGTGCCCGCAACCAAGGTACATGCCCTTGACCGGAATCGAACCTGGTACTCTTCAGTCTGCAGGCTGACGCTCTATCCACTGAGCCAAACCAGTTAGGGCAAAGGCACAATTCTTAAGAAACTACAGACTTCCTCCCAGGAGGAGTTGTTGACTCCTAAGGTAACAACAAGCTAAACATTTTTCCACAATTAGAGATATTTATAAAATATTGTTGAGTAACACTTAAATTCATAAATTACAGGTAAACTTTCTCAAACTTGGGACATCCAGGGACTTGGGGTCATCTTCTTGAATAGCTACTAATGAACTAATGGTGGTGCCTGCCTTCTAGTCCATGTGTAATAATGCCTATAAATTTCAGTTACTGGTAAATGCTCCATTAATGACCAGCGCTTTGCAATCATCAGCAAATCCCGCCTGGATGTCCAAGCGTAGCTACAAGCTCTCTCTAACCAGTCGTTGTGGGAATGGCTACAGGAGAATGAATGTTAATAAACAGCCCTCCCAGGGGCTGTCACAGGTAGGGCAGGCGAATGAGACACCAGTCTGGGCCCCAGATCCTTCTTGTCCAACCAGAGTTGTTATACCAATGTTTTCTTTTGATCCAAGTTAGGAAGCCACTGATATAAACAATTGTGGTCAGCAATGATCATCAGTGTGTGGAACAGATTTTGGCTGTCATTGATCTAAGCAAATGTGAGCCGATAGCTGTAATTCCAGGTTGTTTTACTATCCTATTTCCTCATTAAGCATTTTTATTTTTAGGAAGTCACGTCATTACAGAATAAAAGTTTTATATAACAGTTTTATTTTAAATATGCTTTCTAATGGTTTGCTTCAGTGTTCTGTGCAGTCTAATGCATCCTAAATTAGGTAGCCAATGTGTTTCTTTCTATCGACACATTCCAATTTTACTATTGGAGTCAGTGAAAAACCAAAACCACAGGACCTTACAATTGACATTGTTAGAATTTGTGGCCTATTAAAAGAGGAATGTAAAGAATTTTGAAACTTCTGTGAAAGTTGTAGTGCAGCTTATCTCATTATTCTGGAATCTATTTTAAGAGCACAAGCACTCGGTAATTAAAGGTTTCTTCTACTTTTCCCTAAAATCTCTTACTTTCAAGGTTGCTTGGTTTTTGTTTTGTTTTTTAAAAAGATGATATTCAACAGCTGTTTCTAGCGATATGTTTTTGTCTATCATTTGCTGAGAGTCTTATTGTGTGCCTGCCGAAACAACCAGATGTGTCATTATGAACAAGAGAATCACTTGATTAAATAACGTTTAGCAGGCTGGGGATATTAATAAAGTGCTCTTCTACGACTGTGCATTCTTCCCTGCTATCTGCAGTGTGCCAGCTGTGCAAACGCATGCTCGCTTCCCCATTCAGCTCCGAGTCTTTGTCTGGAGTCACCTGTCATTTCCCAGTCATACAAAGCACTTGTTCTCTTTCACTCATACCAACACATCAGTTGATGAGTTGCCTTCTTTCTAAGTCAGCCAGTAACTTCAGTTGCCTATGTTTGGAGTAGGTTGTTGAATGCCTTGATGAATACCAGTCTCTGATGTTCAAAGAAAGGTTGTATCGATGAAAGATAACGCTAAAAAGAAACAGGAGCAAACACTTAATATATACAGAGAGAAAACAAGACAAATCCAGCTGGCACGCAAAAAAACCCCAAAACAAAACAACAAAAAAACAGTGTTCCCATTAAAACACAGTAGCTTTGCAGGGTAGACTGAAACTGACACCAGAGCATAACCCGCCACGTTAAATGTAAATGAAGGTAAACTTTCTCAGAGGAAATCCCAAATTTCCACTGTGACTGGGTTGTCAAGGCAACAGTGTCCATGGAGCTCTTTATATCCTGATGGCCCTGCACCTACAGTTGGATAGCTGCCACTGGTGGTGCCTAGCTACAGCTTTTCCATGAGGACCCTTAATTTTCATCCAGCATGTATTTTTCTAAGAATCAGTAGTTATAAAATATTACATACAGTTTGCTTTAGATGTGATTTAAAGCGCCTCTCTACAATCTGGTACCTCCTGGTTAGTAGTTATGGACAGTAAATTTACATGACCCTAAGTTTTCTTATTTCAAATTTAAGTTAGAAATAACCTTAATCTCAACCTGAATTTTCTTTTAGAGGCCAGTATCCAAACACATAAGGGGTTTCCAGGGCTAACAGCTCTTGGAGCTTCAGAACAAATTGATGTGAGCAATTAACCCTTCACCTTTAGCATTCTGCGAGGTGAATAGGGAGTAATACCCACGGCCCTGTCAGTGCTCCTTGTGCTACCTGGAGTTCACTAGTCAGCTCTACTTTGAATCTGCTGTTCTTTCCCTCAGGTAACTTTGTTATTAACACACTGTTTTAACACATAGTTTGAGCTTTGGAACCATTTTGCGCCCTCCCCCCCCACCCCCCCCCTTTTTTTTTTAACTAGTTTTGACTCTTGGTGGTAAGTAAAATATTAAAAACTTTTTCCAGAGTCTCCTAGAAACAAATATAATATGAGACCAACTAGTGGCTTCCTTTCAGAAATTTCCAAGGAGGTTACATGAGATGATCTCAGCTAGAGTCAAGCGAGGTCAGGTGAAAGGTACAGCTTTGGGGCTGGCTGTTCCTGCCTGAGTACCAGCTCATATTTGCCATCAGAGTTTGGCTCTATCATTTCTCTGCTAGCTATCTACTACTTTCAGACCACCCGAATAAGAGCAATCGATTTGGCTTCCTTGTATAGGTGGGGAGACTGAGACATTAGTGGCTAAGGTGAAGGTCTCACAACAGAAATCAGTGAGAATCCCTCTGGTTTTGCTCTTGAATTCAGGGACAAGTTTCCCTTGATGTTTCTTTTCCTCTTTTTTTATTCAGTCCACCCGAAAGCTCTTTTGTACCCTAGCACTTTCGTGCAAGTGCCTCTTTGTTTTTCTTCTGTTTTTATTAACCTATATCAGTGGTCTTGATGTCGTTGGGGAGTTGGATGGGCATATCTTTAAGTAAAATTTAAAAATAAACATTATTGTTCCTTCAGTCTTGGAGGTGGAACATTCCTAGGTCTATGTTGCTTGCTGACTGGTTGTGAGACCTTTGAAGAAGCTATGGAAATGGCAGCTAAAGGCGACAGCACCAATGTTGATAAGCTGGTGAAGGACATTTACGGAGGAGACTATGAGCGATTTGGCCTTCAAGGATCTGCTGTAGCATCAAGGTAGAGACGAAGTGGCTAGGAACAGTCATGATTAAACACAAGGCAACCTCTCCACCCTGGCTATTCATTTAGTTAATTTTAAATATTTTAACCCACCAGGTGCAACTATCTATGGGATTGGAGTTCAGATTTGATCTCCTGTCCCTCATGATGCACCAAGATGTTTAGCTTGGCCTTCAAGGATCTGCTGTAGCATCAAGGTAGAGACGAAGTGGCTAGGAACAGTCATGATTAAACACAAGGCAACCTCTCCACCCTGGCTATTCATTTAGTTAATTTTAAATATTTTAACCCACCAGGTGCAACTATCTATGGGATTGGAGTTCAGATTTGATCTCCTGCCCGTCATGATGCACCAAGATGTTTAGCTCTTTCTTGATGCTTGTGCTTAAAATAGGGCAGCTTTGAAAGAAGGTTCTGGAAAATGGCAACAGTTTCCTGTTTCATTCTTGTCCAGATATCTAGAGGCATAAAAAAAAAAAAATTCTCCCCCATTAATAGCCATGCTATTTTGTTCCTATTAAGAAAAGGGCAGCCAACCATTCATATTGTAATCTTGTCTGCTTGTAAACCATGGCAGCGAAATCAGGTCATTTGAGTTTGAGCAGAGTTATTCATACAGCTTGCCACAGTACTTTGGTGGAAGCATGGGGTCTGCCTGAGGATGATTTTGAACACTCTCGCTAATATTTCCAACGTAGCTTTGGCAACATGATGAGTAAAGAAAAGCGAGAGTCCATCAGCAAGGAAGACCTCGCCCGAGCCACGCTGGTCACCATCACCAACAACATTGGTTCCATTGCTCGGATGTGTGCACTGAATGAGGTAAGGCCTTCACCTGGGGAAAGCCATGTGTCATTCATATACATCACCTTTGGCAGTGCAATGACTATGGACCCTTACAAATTACAGTCTTTGAGAAACCTGTCCTTTGTTGTAGTCACACCTTGTAGAACTAGAAGGGTATATGTTGGGGGGGGGGGAGGGCAAAAGAATATGTGTTTTATTTTTAAGTAGGCATTGGATGATAACAAAACCATCCATGGGAGAAACATGGTAAAATAACAAACCATGCCTTAGCCTCTGTACCCATCATTAGTACCATGTACCTACTGAAGTGTGAGGAAAAGCTCTGTGCACCCTTGCAAATATTCGTGGGTAAAGCGTTCCACTTGCAATATTTGATATTCTCTCTGCTTTCAGCTTCTTTACAGTGTTGCCTTGTGGCATGGAGTTCAAGCAGCATTGTACAGGGCTATCAAAGCACAGAGAGCTTGCTACAGCTAAGGCCAGCCAGAGCCCCAGGCACAGGAAGAGATAGAGCTGGTCACAGACAAAATGTACAAAATATTGTAAATTTCCTTTGGGGAAAAATAAGGAACCTTTTTTCTGAAATATAAGATGTGTAAAGTGGACTGGCTTTTACTGAGCAGTGTTAGGAAGACAAGAAAGGGGGGTTGGGCATGGAACAGGTAATAGGAGAAGTATTAAATAATCATAGTAGCATCAGTAATAGAGTTTCTTAAAGTATAAGTTTTATTTTGTTTAAATCCTCACCCGAGAATATTTTTCGATTGATTTTTTAGAGAGAGGGAAAGACAGAGAGAAATAACAGTGTGAGAGAAACACATCAATTGGTTGCCTTCCTGCACGAGCTCCGACCAGGGCCTGGGCCAGGGAGGAGCCTGCAACCAAGGTACATGCCCTTGACCAGTATCAAACCCGGGACCCCTTGGTTCACAGGTCGATGCTCTACCCACTGAACCAAACTGGCTCAGTCTAAAATGTGATTTTTAATAAATATTACATACACGCAGAAGCAGGTTCAAATCATAAGTGTATAGCCTGTTGAATTATCACACACACACCTGTACAGCCACCACTCAGGTTAAAAAAATAGAACATTAAAAGTACTGCAGAAACCCCCTCTAGTCCCCATTGAATAGTGGAGTATTAACCAGAGTGTGAGGCTGCCTTTATGCCAGTTAGGGGCCAGCCTGCCTTTGATCTCTGGGGTTACAAGAGAGACACCCTCCTTTCACCATATTGAATAGAATATGCCACTGGCCTGTTGGTCAGGTTCATGGTTTTTGTGAGTCCCCATTTCAGATGGATATTAAATGCAAAGCTGATATTCCGATGAAAGAATGTTTTCCGGAGTCATGCCTTTTCAAAGTCCACTTTGGTCATGGGATTCAGTGGAACAGAGAATTTGTTTTTGTTTTTTTTATATTAACCTTTAAAGAGAGTTTCTCCAAGGAGCCAAACAAGCCCTAAGACCAATCTGTGTGTAGCTGGCTGCACTCATAGACTCTCAAAGGTCAAGTCAATGGGAAGAGAGCAATGGATGCCCTTTCCCCTGCTTTCCTCAGAGCTTGAGTGAGCCAGCAGGTTTTTCACAGGTAGCGTAATCACTCTAGACTAGAGGGAGGACAACTGATTTTACTTTCAACTTTTGATTTCAGTTTCAGTTTATTTTAAAACCAGCAAAAGAGGCTGTTTGAAAGTGTCACACACTCATCTGAGAAACTTTTAGAAGTTTCTGTGGAGTTGAATGAATGAGAGGCATTGCCGACAGCCTCAGGCACGGGCTCTGTTAGCTGGTGTCCTGCCAGGGCAGGCTCCCTGTGGACACACCACGTGCCCCGTGAGAGCAGTGATGCAAGTTCTTCTGTTATGGTTTTGCTCCCCGGAGTCACTGATGGGAGAATATTTGATTTCAACCACATGCACTAAATCTAAATTACTTTTGCTGTGGTTATTGGAAAGCCATGAAATATTTTCAGTCATTTTATTGAAGAGACAATAATGCAAATACATAATACAGAATTCTGAGACACCAGGTGGGTATTCGGGGAAGGGTATCACCATGTCCACACTGACCCTCAATGTTAATCTCACTAAAGGCAGCCATTTGTTTTAGTTTAGTTTTGTGTGTTTTTTAAAAACTCTATATTGTATGTAATATAGGACAAACATATCTTTTGAAAGGTAGCAAGCTCCATATAACATTCTTTTTTTAACAACAGTTTTATTGAGATAGAATCACATGCTACGCCCATGCCATTCACTTTGTACATACTGTTCTACATCCTTCTTCAGTTGTTTATCCACCTTTTAGTATAAAATTGGTGAAGATACAGAAAGGAGAGAGGAATAATAAAGAACCTCCATGTAGCCATCAACTCAGTCCCAACAGTTATTAAGTCTTTGCCATACATGTTTCACCCATCTCTTTTCTTCCTCTTCCTCTCTTTTTTGCTAAAATATTAGAAAGCAAACCCCAGACATTATCAGTCTACTCTACATACTTCAATATACACTCCAGGAAATGTTGCTTCTTGTTTTTTTGCATGATAGTACATCTTGAGATTGTTCATATATTTATAATTGCTTCATTTTTTTTTTTTTAATTCTTACTGGATGATATTTTTCCATTGATTTTTAGAGAGAGTGTAGGGGGAGAGACACAGAGAGAGAATCATAGATGTGAGAGAGACACATCAATTGGGTGCCTCCTGCACAGGGATCAAGCCTACAACTGAGGTACATGCCCTTTTCTGGAATCAAACCAGGGGCCATTCCGTCTGCGGGCCATTGCTCTATCCACTGAGCTAAACCTGCTAGGGCTGCTTCATTTTATTAATGGCCATATAGCATCCTAACATGTAGATATGCTATTCTAGATTTGGTCATTTTCCTAATGATATAATGATATTTAGGGTTTTCTAGACGTTGCCACTATTAAAAAATTGTTTTTATATATACACATACACACCATTTTGCATACATGGAATTATACCTATAAGATAAATTCCTAGAAGGGAAATTGCCAAGTCAAGAATGTGTTGACTGTAATTTTGACAGATAGAGTTGGTTCTAATTAATTTCCCATCAGCAGAGTTTGTTTCTCCACAGAGAGTCATTAAATCCTTTTATTTTTTCCAATGTAATAGATAAGAAAAGAAATGCTACCTATTTTGGTTTCAAAATTGTATTTTATTATGTGAAGCTGAACATTTCACAAATCTATTTAATAGCCCTGAAGGAGAACTCATTACTGTTCACACATTTTTCTATTGGATGGTTGGTCTTCTTTTCTTATTGATCTGAAGGAAAATAATACATTTTATGTTATATGTACTAAAAATATTTTCTGATTATTGCTTTCCATTTGGGTTAGTTAATGGTGATGTTTTTCTCCAGAATAAATATTTGATTTTTTTAAGTAAATGTGTCTTTTTCATGAATTATGGGTATTACACCTTTACTACTTCAGCATTATTTTTATTGTGATATATTTCAGAGACAAAGGAAGAGGGGGAGAGAGATAGAAACATCAATGATGAGAATGAATCATTGATTGGCTGCCTCCTGCACACCCCCTACTGGGGATCGTGCCTGCAACCTGGGCATGTGCTGTTGGCTGGAATTGAACCTGGGACCCTTTAGTCCACAGGCCAACACTATCCACTAAGCCAAACCAGCTAGGGCTTCTTTCTCTTTTTTAAAATTTAACATTTATATCACTCACCCACCTGAAATTTGTTTGAAACAGGGAATGTCCATCAGCTTTTAATGCCACTTCTATTCTGCTTTCTACCTGAGTAAAGCAGGACTGGGGTTTTAAGCGATTGACTCCCTCGTTTGGGGGGGCGGGGGGGGAGGTGAAACTCCTAAATTTAATTAAATTCCTCTTTAATCTGAGTTTCTTATTTTGAGTGTTCCTTGCCACCTCTCAGTCTGGGTGTTTTGTGGCTACAGTTCTTATTTGTGGAAATTTATTAATACCACCTCCCACCCCTCTACTCATGGAAATTTCTCACAGTTGTTAATGGGTTAATGAACATGCACGGTTAAAACTCGAGACGGTTAAAAGGTGATGTTCCCAGACCCTGTTACTCTTCATAGACTGAACAGAAAATAATGCCAGCTTCCAAGCTCTCTTCCCTTTGATATGAGTGACCATAGCAACTGGCTCTGCGAGTGAGTGGTGAGCAGCCTCTGCATGGGAGACAGGCCGAGCTCAGTGCTGTGTGTTGTTCAGAATGCAAGTCTGTATCCATGACAACAAAAATACATAAATGTATTTTTTGTTACCATCTTTTAACCCCCATGTTGACCAAACAGGATATTCTAAAAGTAGTAAGTAGTGTTTCTTCTTGTATTCCCTGTGTTAGGCACAGAGCAAACTGAGCAAATACATGAGATGAATAACCCATGCCATGGCCACTTTATGTATGAGTTGCTTATAATAATATTTTATGGTCAGAAATTTGGAGGATTGAAGGAATGCAATCGCAAATTTAGGTGAAATTGAGCACCAGTTACAATTTTATATATGAGTGTTGGCAGCTGGATTTCATATCAGACTTAAGGCAACCTAACATGACGGCAAATTAGCCCAATGTCAGTCTCTGCCTAGTCCAAGCAAAATCTCACCGTCTTGTTCTTGTGGATTCTCCTTTGAGGTCTGCTCAAAGTCATCTTGGAAATGCTGGAATAATTCCATTTTTAATAAAAATGTATTCTGTGGGGTTCTGGGAGCACAGTGATGTATGGAACATTAGGTTTTTGCTAAATGCTATTTATGTCATGGTTCAACTGTGTTTTTTTTCTTCCCCCCCACCTCAGAATATCGACAGAGTTGTGTTTGTTGGGAATTTTCTCAGAATCAATATGGTTTCCATGAAGCTGCTAGCGTATGCCATGGATTTTTGGTCCAAGGGACAACTGAAAGCTCTGTTTTTGGAACATGAGGTAGGTTGAGCTTGCATGGGCTTCATTGTACGATGTGAAAGTTTTTTGGTTTACCTAGCATGAGTGGGTCCCTTCGTTTGTATTTATGCAGAGGATAATGAAGAACAATATACAAAATGGAAGTTCTCTTATCCAACAATCAGGACTGGTAGTTGTTTAAGAAAAAATAAAAATCAGTTAAAATGCATAGTCATTAAAAAAATATCTCCCTACTTTAACCATTTTAAGAGAAATGCATACATGTTCCTTTGTGCACCAATTTTTTTTATGTCAGACCAAGGCCTATTTTTGAGCATGAGTTCTGCTGATTGGAGCTCTGTAATTATCCTGTTTTTTATATTATGCACCTTTGATGTCTGGTTTGTTTCTTTAAAGTGGATCAAGAAGTTAAAGACACTTATAAAGCAATTTGGTTGTAGAATTGTAGATTTTCCTCTCCATCTTTCTCATATGTGACACCAACCTAAATAGCAATGTTTGTGACTAGCTTTTTTGACCTTTGTTTTGTTTTGGTTCCAGTTTTGTTAAGATATAATTGACATATATCACTGTATAAGTTTTATATATAAAGCATAAAGATTTGATATATGTATAATTGCAAAATGATTACCAGTTTAGTTATCATTCATCACCACACATTTTTAAAGATTATTTTAACTTGTGACGAGAAATTTTAAGAATTACTCATTTAGTGCCCAGCCAGCATGGCTCAGTGGTTGAGCATGGACCTATGAACCAGTAGGTCACAGTTAGATTCCCAGTTGGGGCACAGCCTGGGTTGCGGGCTTGATCCCCAGTGTGGCATGCAGGAGGCAGCCAATCAATGATTCTCATCATTGATGTTTATCTTTCTCTCCCTCTCCCTTCCTCTCTGAAATAAATAAAAATATATTTTAAAAAAGAAAAAAGATTTACTCACTTAGCAGCTTTCAGTATTAACTGCCTTTTCCCAGTCATTTTCAACAATTTAACTAGATTTTTATAGAAGTGACCATTTTATACTCCTTTTATTATTTGAGTTTGTGTATAGTTAAATTAGATTATTACACTAACAATCAAACTGTCATAAACAAATTTGTGGGAAAAACACAACGGACTTTTGGTAAGTAAATAGCCAGCCGGTGAGAAAACAAGTATTTGGCCAGTGAGAGTAGCTTCATGGCCTTGAGCAGTTGGTGTACCAGGACATAAGCAGTCTGTTTACAGAGGAAACGGAGAGCCTCAGTTAATTCAGAGCCCCTTACATCAAGTTCTACACTAATACAAACCAGAGTTTTCTGAGAGTGAGTGAGGGGCACTCCTCTCTTGCTACCGCATTGAAGTTCAGTACTATAAAGAGCAACTATTTATCACAGGAGGTACCTAAGTCCAAGGGAATATTGCAGCAGAAAAAATACTGAGAACTGGTATAAATTTCGGTCGCTGAACTGAATTACTTATTTGAAAAGTTGCTGATGCATTTGTAAGTTCTTTAGAGCTGAGCCCATAGTTTGCTTCTATTAAAGCATAAAACAGCCCTAGCTGGCTTGGCTCAGTGGATAGAGTGTCAGCCTGCGGACTGAAAGGTCCCAGGTTCGATTCCGGCCAAGGGCACATGCCTGGGTTTCAGGCTTGATCCCCAGTAGGGGGTGTGCAGGAGGCAGCCGATCAATGATTCTTTCTCATCATTGATGTTTCTATCTCTTTCTCCTCCCTTCCTCTCTGAAATCAATACAGAAATATATATTTTTTTAAAAAGAGCATAAAACAAAAGGAACTTAAATACTAAATAGTTAAGGCCCAATGATTGAAATTAATGCTATAGGAAGCCCCCCCCCTTTAAAATGTTTTTTACCCCCCTCTTTTTTTAAAAAGCACAAAGTATGAAGTGATATAACTTTGGAGGGGGGGGGCGCGGGGTGATGGGAATGGAGTCCCAGAATTTTCGCTTTCCCTTTCCCATATAGAGCAGCTCCCTTTAAAACAAAAAAAAAGTTTTTTTTTTTAATTGATTTCAGAGAGGAAGGTAGAGGAAGAGAGAGAGAGAAACATCAATGATGAGAGAGAATCATTGATCGGCTGACTCCTGCACGCCCCCTACTGGGGATCAAGCCTGCAATTCAGGCATGTACCCTTGCTCAGAATTGAACCTGGGACCCTTCAGTCCGCAGGCCAACGCTCGATCCACTGAGCAAAACTAGGTAGGGTGAGCAGCTTGCTTTTTTATCCGCTTATATATTGATTTCCACATAGATTTTGTCTGAAAAAGAAAAAAATCACCTTAGCTTTAAAAATAATTAAAAATGAAAACCACTGTTCTAGTCCAGCTAGTGTTGCCATATTTGGCCATTAAAAATACAGGACACAGTTATTTTATCCGGCATTTATCTGGCAACCCTGAGTGCAGGTTCTCTTGAACTAAAGCAGAAAACAAACCTGGAAGCCACCAGGGATTAAAAGCCATCTATCTACAAAGCCACACTGGTGGTCAGATAGGGAACACGATCCAACGTTTGGGGGAAATCCACTTGTCTGGGTAAAAATGCATGTCACTTTGTACAACCCTAGGCCTCCGTGCATGATGGCTTTGGTTTGTTACTGTGTATCACGCATAATTCAAGCCTCTATAGCCAATGAAGCTGGAACGATTTTATAACCCCGTTTAGGTTTCAGAAAATTCTCTACATTCTTAAGTTCACTCTGGCTTAGGCAGGCCTTACTATGGAGAGAGAACTTTTGGGGGAGCACTGCCTGGTAGGGGGGCTTTCCTGCCCTGCCTTAAGTGGCGTCACTCACAGTCTCTCAGTTTGTATTAGTGAGCATTTCCTAAGAGAAAGTAGTCTAGCGGAGCAGTTAAGACTGCAGCCTCTTCATGACGGGGAGACCTGAGCCAGTGACTACCTCTCCATCTCCGTGTTCGCACTTGTGAAGTGGGGTGTAATGGTACGTCTCCTAAAGTTACTGTGCAGATTAAAAGACTAAGTCCATGTAAAGTGCTGAGAACAATGAGTGAGCCCTCAATGAGTGTTAGCTGGCGACCGGCAATAGAGGCAAAGATCCTGCCATGCCTGTAGCGTTCTGGTATTTTGGCACCTGCTTCTGCAGTAGCTGATGAGTCAGGCATACGCCAGAGGAGTGGGAGTCTCGTGCCTTTTGGAAATCAGTTTCTCTAAAAGTTTCCGTTTTTCAGTTTCCGTCATTTTCAGAGAAACATGGGCTCTTTTTTTTACAGATGGGCAAAGTGAAACTGGGCTGATTTCGCTGCCTTTCCAAGATCTACTGAGGGAAGCGGTGGGATATTACAGCTTTGAAGTCAGATAGTTTTGAGGGTGAGCCCAGGCACATGTCATGTGATCCTGCAAGGGTAATTTACTTTATTACCTTCCATTTCTCATCTGTGAGATGGGGGTAATCACAAAAATTTTGCCATGGCAAGAATTAAAAATGAAATACTAACAATACACAGCCCTCTGGAACACACACTGTGTGCCATTTTTCTAAACATTTACATCAACTTATTTAATATGTATAATAAGCCAATACCCAATACATTTTATTATTATTAATTATTATTATTTACTTCACCATGTTTCATAGCAGAGTTAAGGTTTTAAATTTCTCTTACAACAGTAGGGGGCAGCAATCCTAAGGTTATTAACAACAATAGGTATTTGTGGCTAAGTTCAGAGGTAATCATACTGCCTTCCCATTGTTTTTGTAGGGTTACTTTGGAGCTGTTGGGGCACTGTTGGAACTATTCAAAGTGACTGATGACCAGTAGAGAGGAGCCCTAGGTGATGGAACAACAGCCTTACGTGAGAACAGAGCCCTGGGAACCGCTGCTGGAGAAGGTGAAAGCTGCCGTGAGATGAAAGCCAAGCCATTCACGGCAGACACACCTGCTGGATTTGTAAATAATTTAAAATCCTTCTAGCTGATCTTTTACTCTTGGGTTTTGAGTTTATGATTCAAAATGGGGAATACAAGAGTTTTTTCTGTATACTGTATTTTTAAGAAGAAGAAGAAGAAAAAACACACCATTTTGTGCAGTGTGGCCAAACCTACCAATTTTATGCATTAATTTTGTAAAGTTATATTATGTTTAAAAGAAGGACCTGAAATGTAAGTGTTGTTTATACTTCTTCTGGGGTTTACTGATCAGTGTGGTAATTTTAAGTTCGTTTAGTAATTACTCTAGGAGATTTTCCTTTACTTATATTTTTCATGACGTTTCATGATTTGCTGTTTGGTTTCAAATGAAACTACCAATCTGGCATGTTTTACTGTGAACACTATTTTGTTTGTCTGTTTACCTTTTATTGTCTTGTTTTCTCTGTTTGAATGTCTTATGGAAAAAGAGTCTTTGCCCCCATTTCTGTCCTCAGATGACTCCCCCTCCCCACCAGACCTTCCTGTGCTGTATTTGTTCATATTAATCAAGGTGCTGTCCAACTCGATACAAAGTTAAACACGAGACTAAAGCTCTCAAAAGTGCTCTCGCAGGGGATACTCTGAAAGTGTTCATGAATTTAAGGAGTCTGGCAAAAGTTGAAAATTATGCAATTTTGTCATACACAGTGTCTTGTCGGATTTATTTTGTTAGGTTATATTAAATGGAAATATTCTATGACGAAATGTCCTCAGCCATGCACAAAGTACCAATGGCAGCAAATCCTTGTGCAGGACATTAAAATTTATAGGGCAGCGTCTCCCGCTAGATTAACTGTTCACATTGTGAGGGTTAAAGAGAAGTCGCGTTTGAGGTGTCAGGTAGTAATATCTTTTTTTTTGGTACATGTATATACCTAGGAACTTTGTAGCAAGTCATCTTAAATAATAAGAAAGTTTTTCATTTGGAGTCTTTTCAACTAAAAACTATTTCAATCTCCGTTTCTAAAATTAAAAAAAATTATGATACTGATCTCTATGTATAGTTTTTCTTTTTAAAAGACATCATTGGGACTGATGGGTAACTTTCAAATCTGAATCTTAGGTGATCATTGAAATCCATGAGATCTAATGAGTTAGAACGAATTCATTTTTGGAATTGAGCGTTTTGTTGAAGGGGATTTGGTAAGGGCTGGACATTGCTCCACGACGAATCTTTCCTTCTCTGCATTCTGAGCAGCGTCTTTAATTTCCATATCGTCAATTCTTGAAGTTGATGTTAATTGAAATACTCACCTGTCTGGTTGAAATAAAGCCCGTTTCTGTTGTGATGTTTTTATTTTTAGTGTATCTGTTATTTTCATTTCCTGACCTTTATGTTCATATTATCTGCTTCTGTACCATAAAATGAATGTGTTGTGTTTTTGCTACTCTACATTTCATAATTTGAAGCTGTCACACAAGTGTGGTAAAAGTTCAAAACACTGTGTCTTCCATTGAAGCTGTAGCTCTATGCAGGAATTGTACTTTAAAAAAAGTTTTCTTATATATAATTAACTCCTTATTCCCAAAAATATCACTACTATATTTTGGTAATTCCAAAAGATAGAGGATCCAGGATTTCAGGATCCAGTCATAAATACATTTGATTAACTTCCACCTGGCTTTTAGAAATTTAAACAGCTAAGATGTCCTTGAAAGAGACAAGAGTAAGAAAACTACATATCACCTATGATAGTGCCTTTTTTGATCTTTTCTACCATTCCTACTCTCATCTGTCAGGGAAGAGCACACCTTGGGTCATGGTTCTGCAAAAGAAATTGGGGCAAGTTGGTGTGACTAAATAATTTTGTTTTCAATTACCTGGAATCACTTGATCTATCCTTACAAATGTTTAAAACATTGGTTTAGCTCAGGAAATAAGTTCATTCTGTTCTGCAAATATCAGTTAAATGTTGGCTACAGATAGCCAGCTTCTTTTATACAATGAGGGGCTTGGAGCCTGGGGGTTTTCCCTCTTACTTGAATGACAGAAACTTTCCTTTGGCTCGACATCAGGAAGAATGAAGAATTTTTAGCTTGAACTATATGATCAGGGGGTCCAGAGCATGGTTTTCTGATTGCGAGACAGCTTCAGTTTGGACCCAGCTCAGCCATTAACTAGTTCTGCAGGCAAGTCACTAAGCCTCTCACTAAACCCTCGTTTCCTCCCTCATAAAATGGGGGCAAATGGTAGTTCTTACCTCCATATTTAAAGAGATTAGCACAAGGGCTGACACATAATAAAAGCTTCATTAATTTTAGCCATACTGAAAAGAAAATAGATGTTTTAAACTAATGCATTAAATCGGGGATTTTTTTTTTAGCCTTCTGGAATGTGGGGAACCCATTTTATCAGAGATATGGCACAGATCTCCCTATGTTAGTACAGGTCTATAACCCTCATTCACAATTCCAAAATCCACGCTCTTCACATTTATCTCTCACTTGAGAGAAAAGGTTACTTGAGCATTATTTATCACACTTTGTAGGACCCTTCACATGTCTTGTTGCAAAGCTATTAATGTATTTGATTACACGGTTCTGCCCCAGACACTACTAGGGGTGTTAAGCAGTGAACAATTCTGAATTTTGGGATATATCTGGTCCCAGTATTTTGAGATAAAAGGATTGTGGAAATAGAGCTGTATACTTCAGCTTATGTAGTATGCTGAGTCCCTTTGTTGGGAACTGTGGTTACAGGTAATTTATACTTGGACATCATCCAGTCAGTCACACAAGGAATATTAAGAAGTGACTCTGTGCCAGGAAGGAAATGAGGCTAGGATACAGCCCCTGCTGTCTAGCAGGTTGAGGACAGAAGTCTTAGCCAACTCATGCAATAAAGTATCTCAGGTATAATGCATTTGTTCACAAGTATTTACAGCAGTGAACAAAACAAAGATCCATCTCCACAGTGCTTACCTTCCTAGAAGGGAAGACATACATTAATAATTATATAATAATATAGTAGCTCACTATTAAAGAGAGAAAGTAAGGTAGGGTAAGGGGCTGGGGTGTGTGTGTGTGTGTAATTCTGTTTAGGAAATGAGAAGTGGAGAAACTGCTTAGAGTGATCAAAGACAACATCTCTTAGGTGACATTTGAGCAGAGTCGAATGGAGTAGGGAGCGCACCATGTAAACACCCGGCGGAAAATATTTCACTCCTGGCAAATGAGAATGGAGGTTTGGAGGAACTGCAAGGAGGCCAGTGTGCCTAGAGCAAAGAATGGGAAGTGCAGTTTTAGGCACAGCCAAGGAAGAGGTCCTACATGAAGTCCTACGTGAGGGGGGAAGGCTGCACAAGAGATTGGTAACTTTTGGAGGCGGGGTGGGGGCTAGACAAGTTCTCAGTCTTAACCAACAAGGAGAGTCCATGGGGTGGACCACGTCGGGAGGGCTTAACGAGCAGAGAGGAGGGTGGGAAGCATTGGGAGAAGAATCAGTCTAGCAGCTAGGCCCTAGCTTATTCAGGGAACTAGACACTCCATCTGGAGCCTAGTTAGAGAGAAACCCAGATACCTGGGAGAGAGGAAACCAAACAGATTATGGAAGGTCTCGTATTCCATGCTGAAGATTTTGGTCTCTTCTGTAGTCATTGTGGAGCCACCAAACAGTTCCAAGTAAAGTGAAACTGGAATGAATCTGGCTTCAGAGTGATAACCGAGCAACATGTCCTGTGGAGGTCAATAAGTAAACCAGTTAACGTGCTGTTGAATACATAGCACCACTCCGTTCTCATGTTTACTTTCTTTCCCCTATTGTGCCAAATCTGCTGAGGGCCACGGTTCTCTGTAACTAAGATGGTTATATAAACTCTTGAGAATTTTCCCGAAGGACAAAGGCTGCTAATAGCTACAACTCGATTGTGTTTCTATTCAGTGAGGAGAAAGGTTTCAGCACCAGTGGTCACCATACACTCCATACTCGCAAGAACTGTTTGCGAGGAAGGTACTTTTCCTCCAGGTGATCAGAAAATGACCTCAAATGTGTGAGGAAGATTGAATTAGTGCACATTTTCCATGGGATTTACCAGGTGCTCATTCTTTCACTCTTTATATATTTAAGTTTGACCTAATGCCTATGAGCAGAGATGCATTGGGTAACATTTAGGATCCAGTTAGTTGTAAGACAGCGAGGTCCCTGCTTTCATTGGGCTTATACTCTCATGAGGGAGAAGCACTTTAAGCACATAAACCAATAAATTAACATCAAAATAAAAGATAGTGATAAAAGCTATGAAGAAACAAAACAGGGTGATGTGATAGAGAGGAAGAAGAAGGACTTCCTTAGATGGACATGAGATACAAATAGGGATAAGTTATGGCTTCAACTTTTGAGGAATAACAGTCAAGTTCATCTTGCTTTCATTATCACCATGAGAATGAAAGATGTTTGGGGGAAACAGTTTGATAACTAATTTATTTTCTTTTTATTTTACTTAGAATATTTAGTTGCATATCTCTTTAAATTTATTACATGAAATAATATATTACTTAGTAACGCACCTTTTTCACTACTCATTTTATGAAACAATATTATTTGAACTGTTCACTGGAATATTTATAGTCAATGCCTTTGTCATGATCAGAGTCACTTAGTATCCAGAGTACACTAAGTTTGACATACAGCACTTTTGAATCCATGTTTGATTCTGACACTGGCCTCTTTTTAACCAAGACACAAGCACCCACTCTCATAATGAGCTTAATTATATGTTTCATTTTCCAAAAGGTGTATATTGGTGATGCCACAGTATAACTATTTATGTGGAGCCTTTTTTTTAAAAAGGTTAGTTTATGAGTATTCATCACTTGCAATACAAAAATAAAAGAAAATTTGTATTAAAACTCTTCGCCTCTTTTTATACTCTATAAAGTAAACGCAAAACATTCCAAAATAGAATTAATTATGTTTCAGTTAATGTCACCAAAAAATTCTCAACCAGTCCTCAGTGAGAATTCATCTTTAAAAAAAAAAAAGTTTAGTTTTTTTAAAAAATATTTTTATTGATTTTAGAGAGGGGAAGGGAGAGGAAGAGAGATAGAAACATCAATAATGAGAATCACTGATCGGCTGCCTCCTGCACGCCCCCTACTAGGGACCAAGCCCGCAACCAAGGCATGTGCCCTTGACCAGAACCTGGGACCCTTCAGTCTGCAGGCTGACACTCTCTCCACTGAGTCAAACTGGGTAGGGCAAAAGTTTAGTGTTTTTAAAAAAATTCAACAGCTTTTACATGCATAGAATATATAGTTCCACATGAAAAATAGCAGTATCCATGTTTTCTTTTACTATTTTGAGCATAGGATCTTCCCAGAAGAAGGGTAATGTATGAGGGACAATTTTTTTGAGCACTTGCATGTCTAAAAATTTCTAAAAATATTTTTATTCCACATGCATACTGATTGATTGTTGAGCAAGGTATAGAATTTTAGAATAGATATTATTTTTCTTCAGAATTTTGAAGGCATAGCCCTATTATTACCAAGTTCCTACATACAGAGATCAGGAGCTGGAATGTTATGAGAAAGCCTGATAGCATTCTGGCTCCTAATCTCTGCATTGAATGATTATTTTCCCTCTTCTTTCCTGGAAGCTTTTAGAAACATTTCAACTTTCTGTTTCGGCTCCAACATGTATTTTCAACACTGCCTTATTAACAACTATGTCAAATGTTGATCAATCCAGGACTCTATATTTTACATTTTGGCAGTTATTGCCAAATTGCCCTCCCAAAAAGTATGAGTATACACACTGTAAACATTAATAATTCCTATTTTCCGAGTCCAAGATGGCGGCATAGGTAAACACCGCAGACTGCTGCCGCAAACAACCACTTCAAAAATACAACTAAAAGACGGAACGGACATCACCCAGAACCACAGGAAGGCTGGCTGAGGAGAGACTCTTCAACTAGAAGGAAAAATAACAGCACACCGAGGCTCAGAGGAGGCGCAGTGTGGAAAATACTCAGGTGCGGAGGTGCGCGCGCAAAGCGGGCTGGTGGCTGAGAGCGCGGTTGTCGTTTTCGGTCAGGGGGGAGTCTCAGACTCTGAGCTCCAGATACGGGCGAATCGCTGGGGACTCGGACCCAAACGGGAGAAGCGGGAGTGTCTGGCATCAGTTGGAAGGCAGCTTTCCCTCCGAGGTTTGCAGCGGTTCCGGGGGTTCTGAGAAGCAGAGCCTATGGGGGGGGAAAAAAGAGGAACAAATGTAACCTGAACAATAAAGATTTAATTAAAAAAAAAAATTCCTATTTTCCTACTTATTCACCCATATTAGGTATTGTCAATCTT